AGCAACAGCAACAACAACACCAGCAGCAGCAGCAGCAGCAGCAGCAGCAGCAAGCAGCTGCAGCGTTGCGACTGTCGCCGCGGAGGGTGTGTCGTTTATATTTGTTGGACTTTGTTTTGTCAAGAACCTCGAAACCTCGAGTTTTGTGTGCTTTTCGTGAATAAAAGGACGTTTGGCCCTTCGTTTGCGAAAACGAAGTTCTTGTTTGGAGAAACCACCAAACCCGATACCTTTGTATTGGGAGCGTCTAAGACGTGACACTAAACCTGCAGCAACAGGGCGCAACATTGTCATTGCCATTGTTATCACCACAGCTATAGGCGATAGTTAACCTCCGCATGAACAATCAACAACATGGCACAACATCAACGTAAGAATCTTCATACCCATCATGCTTACCAAAATCATCCTAATCAGGAGCATCAGCATTTTCATGACAGTCAACATCATGATCAGCAGCATCAGCATCATCATCGTCCTCACCAATCACGGTCAAGGCAACCATGACCACGGAAGCAAAAACAGAAACACTACATGTAAGCCGCATGGGCATGGACGTCATCAGGCCCGCCCCCCAACAGCAACAGCAACAGCAATAACAACAACAAAACAAAAACGCTAATAAACCGACCCCAAACCCCAACGATGTCCTTTAAGAGACGCCACCTCTTGCTTCAGCTGAGCCTCAGTGCTCTTGAAAGGACCAGGAGAGGGGGGGAAGATGGTCCCGCACCAGAAGGCTCCATGTGCCTATATGGCCACACTTAGGCCTTAAATGGGTTCCTAATCCTCTGTACGTACTTGAAGGTCTAAGTACACAGTTTATAGGTAATGGAGCCTGAGGCACAAAATCTGTAGAGGTTTACGCTTGAGGGTTCCACTACTAGTGCTCTTTCAGGTTCCTGGACGGGTCCCATACAGGTTCCTTTAAGTATATACTGTAGGTCTGGAGAAGCGACTATAAGGCTTCTATAAGGTGAGGGCTGTGGGTGTGAGGCTCAGGCTTTATGATCTTCTTTGTGAGCTCCTTTTTCTGCGGAATCCCACACGAATCGTTCCAGGATTTGCGGCGCTTGATGAAACAGTATACGTAGAGTCTCCATTGTAGTTCCTTTTTGGGGATACCTTATAGAATCCTTAATATATATATATATATATATTTGGTTAAACCAAAAAAAGGAACTACAATGGAGACTACAGGTAAACCATAAGAAACGGACCTGCACGCGTCTTCAGAGGCTTCTGGGCGATAGAGTGGCCTACCAGAGTCTGCCAAGGCACAAAATATGGGGGTTTCCGAAAATAAGGGGACCCTAATATAGTACCCTAAATAATAGGATCCCTATTATAAGGACCCCCAAATAAGGTACCCTAATTTTCGGAAACTCCCATATAGGGGCCGGGCCAAAATAATCACCTATACTATTTTTTTTTTGGGGGGTCCTTAGTATAATTATAGTATCACAATGGGGCCCAAAACCCTATTCTTACTATTAAGGCCCCTACATTAGAGACATCATACTTCTGGTTGGGGTTTGATGTGTCCGAGGGCCGACCGCCGAAACCTCCAACCAGGAGCTACCGAAGAAAAATGGTACTGGAAGTGGCCTCGCCCTCTTACCTTCCAGATTCGGCATGTAGTGACAGATAGAGTGCCTAATTATTTGGTTCCTACTCCTGCTCCTGCACATACTAGGTGCTGGGATTGGGGGTCCAGTGTGAGGAACCAAACAGGATGCTGCGCTGCGGTGAGGGGGTTTGTATTTTTCGAGCTGATGGGGTCGACGATTGGGGCTTAAGACCTGCGGCCACGGTTCATCGAATGTTCAAGAAATACAGCACCCTAAACCCTAAACCCCTAAACCCGGAACAGGGTATATAGGTGTCCCTCAAGCCACAACCCAAAAGCCAAAAGCCCTTCAACCTCGAATGTCTATCCTATCCATGCCCGGCTTGGGTTGTTGAGTTTTAATACTGGAAAAAGGGAACACTGATTTGGTAGTGACTCAAGCCTAAACCCTAAACCCTATAAAGCCTAAGACATCAATGGCTGAAGACCCAGAGCCCTAAACCCTAAACCCTAAACCCTAAACCCTAAACCCTAAACCCTAAACCCTAAACCCTAAACCAAGACTAGAATTCCGCCTATCACGAAAGCATAGAACGAAAGCCCTAACCAAAAGCCTTAGCCCTACCCATAGGCCCCATTGTAGTTCCTTTGTGTGGCCTTTGTTTAGGATCCTATTAAGTATTAATCCCAAAAAGGAACTGCTATGGGGCCTATGGGTATAAACTTTACCCTAAAAGGTCCAAAAAATCCAATAATGGGGCAATTAGGTTTCGGATAGTAGTTCTGTGGTTACTGTCCGGGAGAGTGTATGATTATTAAGTACTTGGAC